ATGCCTGTCAAAAGTCATCTCAAAGGACAGTTTGCAATGCTTGCCAGGGTAGGAGTATGACAGCCTGAAAACCTGTGAGATTTCTGAGAACTGTTCTTACAATAAAACCCTTGACAGCACCCTCAGTCACAGGTGATTTAGAAGATTTGAGGAGTAAATTCATAATGACAAAATCAGGCACAGGCGAGACAGAAGAGTTTCCTAAACCAGACTATGGCACACATCATATTTCAGAGCTGCAGCCACCTGAGCAGTAGGGGATAGAAACTCTAAAGACCCCTGAAAAATTCAAGCAGCTGAATTCACTTCAGCATTTCAAGTCAATTGCTTTGAGGAATAAAACCGCAGCAGCAGCAGCAGCTGATTTTTGCCAAGCTGTTGGTCTTGTTCCTTTCAGATTCACCGTTCTTCATGTTTTTGTTGCCTATGCGTGGCATGTATTTTACGTGTCTGAATGAATCGGCTAAGAAGGTGGAATGTACAGAAATTGGAAGCTTTCTGGAAAAACATTCAAGTTCTGATACATTGCATAGCTTAGACCCAGGGAAATAGGGAAGGATTTAGGCTGAGAAAGGCTTTGGGACAAAAAGCCTAATACGAAGTGGGATTAAGCAAAGGCTGCAGCAGCTGACTCGCACCATGCTTAGACTTACGAGATAGGTTGTATTCTAAACTACCTTAGTCAGTACTGCTAGTGCATTTCTACAACACAGTGTCAGTATATTGCATTTTTCAGGATATAAGTTTTAGGCAGTCATGCTGCATGTGAATGAACCTCTCCCTGGCAATTTCTCAGCCCATTCCAATCAGATTTCAAATAGAAATAAAGATAATATTTTTCTCTATGTTTCTTTACACTGACAGCAGGTAGAAGTAAGAAAGCCTACAAATATCTCAACTAAGGGAAAGTTTGGAGCGTGCTCTCATGTCATATTACACGTAATAGGATTCAAACAGGAGTGAGCCTTTATAAAAGTCCCACATGGGGAAATCTCACTTCATACCTTCATAGTTGTCATAACCAGTATAACATAAAGCATGTCTTACAGGAATCATTAGTTTTCCTTGGTTCTGGTGTTCAGCGAGTGACTTGCTTGAATGTAATTTTCCCTTGTTACACTGAGATTAAAGGGTGATTTATATTCATGGTAGTGAAACTTTGCTATCAAACATGAAGCCAAACTCCAAGCCTCTTTTTCTATTTCAGTCTTTGTCTGAATGACTTTTGCAAAGCCATGTGCGAAATCTGTGATAAAGCCTTAAACCCAGAGATCATACCAATATCAAATAACTATTGGGCGTTAAAACAGTGCTTTTCTGATTCCAGCAATGCATCTGCATCATTTCACTAAAGGTACGATTCTCCACTAAGTTAAAGGTGTAAATTAAAAGAGGAAAGGAAGTGAAGTCAATTAACTTAGAAAGAGGAAAATGCAGCACCAATGACTGTCTGGCCCTATCTGTCAAACTCTTGATATTTCAGGTAGTTTTGCTGAAGCTTTGATTCCCAAACTGCACCTCAGAGAATACTCACCCATTGCTTTTCATCCTGAAACAGAATTTTAACAGCACTAAAAGCTTTCCTGTTTCCTTGTAGCTCCAGATAAATGCAAAGATGACTCTTTTGACAGAGGAGTAAAGTCTCTGAACCTGTGGCTTCTGCAGTATTTTTGCATTTCCAAGAGATGAGGAAGACTCATTGAGGGAAAGTAAACTGGTGTGGAAATCTCTTCATAAAGAGTATTCTTCTTTTGTTGTTTCTTTTTGTGGTGAGATGGTTGGATTTGGGGGAGGTTTGATGTGTGGGGAGGAGGATTCAGGGACAGAACGGCTCCATGAATTGAGGAGAACCAAGATAACAGCTCACCACTGTGTGCATCTTGCCCCTCTCTCCCATCCTCCCCCACTTTCAGCTCTCCTTCCTTGAAGAAGCTTGGGCTGACCATGATTGCATGACTGGAACCATCTGTGACCTCATCTAACTGCCTGGAAAGGCAGAAAAATGGCACTCCAAACTTAGGTCAGAGAAACTATTTGTCATAGTCTTAAGCTGAGGAGTTAATCTCAAAACAGTAAAACTATAAGGATATATCCATCTCTGAGACTAATATTTTCGTATTGGGTACAAGAACCCCAGAATTACCTAACAAATAGAATGTACGAGGCAGAGGGACATGAGTGGAATTTAGGCAGGACTTAGGCATTTCTGCATTGAATAACCAGGCCTCCTAAGAGGAATCTCAGAAGTATTTCAATTCCTTGGGTAATGCCAGTTATGCAAAGAGCATATGCTAATACGCCTCCTTTTTTGGGGTGTGGGGGGAGAGGGTTTGGAATTCCAAAACACATTGGTCATTACTCTAAAACAGATCCCTAAAATACCAAATCACTGTACTTGTTGCTTGCTACAGATTTTTGTGCTCTTTGCTAGCTTTTTCTTGTGAAGAAAAATCTGCAAACAAAATAACTAAAAAGGTGATATCCACCTGTGTGTGCAAATGGGCTGAAAGAAGCTCCAAGGGATGCAAAGCTTCCTGGTAACACTCGGAAGAATGTTTGAGCTAATCTGCTTCTGATCATTTCAACACCCAGACGATCTCTTCATTCCACACATTCAGACTATGATAGGCAGATGCTAAAATGCTAACTGACCCCTAAGCAAATATACATCAGTTTTCTTTTGTTAACTTTCATAATAAATATAATTTCTAAAGTGAAACTATACACCTGCCTCAACATTAAAAAGGTAAAGCTGTCATAGCAGTCATTTAATTGATTAGCAAATTAAATCACAGAAAAGATTCTATCGATACTGTTATCTGTTGTCATCATCATATTTAAATTTGGAAAAAGTATATTCTAAATTTTTTGAGCTCCTGCAAAATATCTACTGTCTAAGAGTATTTTTTGCATAATGTATGCAGTAAGGATTTGCACATCTAATGCCAATGGCTAATAAAAGATTGTGGGTAGCTATTTAAGCAAAACTGGTGAGCCTAGAAATATAAAATTTTCCCAGAAATGCAAAACTACTGTCCTGGAAATGGTGGAATTTTTAAAATATTTCAGTCCTCACATGTATAAGGACAATTCAGCGAATGGAGAATGGAGTTACTTTCACATGTAAGTTGCACAGCTATTTGTGTGTGCATGGGGGAGGCCAAATTATTTCTAGAGGAAAAGAATGTTTTTTTTCTGAATTTTTGTTGTTTTGTGTTTTTTTCATAAATCAAAACACCACCTACAGGCAAAAATGTTCATGCAAATTCTTGTTAAATTAAAGCAGTCAATTAAATTAGGCTGTGACATCCCTTCCTATTTTTTTTTTCATGACATCCTATAGAGGATGGAAGGTGCAACTTTGAACACTTGGATATCAGCCCCTAGGGGAACCTCAGTACCCAAACTTGTTGTCCTAAGTCTCCATATATGACGGCTGTGCAGTGCTGACCAGCTCATCAAAGTAGAGTCACTGAGCTAGGTACTCAACCAGATCTGACCAGTACAAATTACTGAGAAAGTTGTCTAAAACCTTATTCCTCTTCATAACTTACGTGCTTGAGCCAGGACTACATGAAATGTTTCTCATGCCATTTGGGGGTCATGTATAAAGGTAAGCTAAACAGCACCATGAAGACATGTGGGCCCTGAGCCCAAGCGGCCAAGTCTGGCCACAAGCGTGCTATCATACCCTATTAACCCCAACACAGGGCAGCTATGTCCCAGCTGCTAATGTTGCCCTGCTAATTCCTTGAGATTTACTTGGGAGAGTGCTAGCTCTTTCAGGCTAAGACCACATCATATGTGAAAATACGACGAGAGTGCTCCGGTGCCTGGCACCGCTCTGACACTGTTTCGGTACTAGCACAGAAGGAGCCCTGCGCAAGCCTACCTGCTTCACTGACGTGTGGGTTTTACAGTGCTCTTCTGGGTGGGAAGAGCATAAAGTGCTCATTTCTACCTTGGGCAAACACTTTTAGCCCTATGCTATTATACAGAAGTGAGGTAACAGTAGCTTTTGGTTCCCCTATCCACTACATTAGCTTACCAGTATTTCGACAGCGCATGAGTATTAGATGTGCCCTAAGCATGCCTGGTAGAGAAAGCCTTTTGGGGACACACACACTTCAGCGTTTCTGGATCCCAAATAAGCTTAGTCTTAAACTCGTCTTCTCTTCAGGCTATGGCAGTTTTATGCATGGACAGAATGTATATACATCTGCACAGCAGGTGTATACAAAGCCACAGGTAAGACAAATCACACCCATTTTTAGCCATGGAAGCTAGCCTAACTTTGGTAGAACAAATCGCTTTCAGGAAATGCCTTCACTCCTTCAGCTCTAGGGGAAATTTGAATTATTATCTTAGCCAAGATGCCTAATTTTTAGACACATGAAGTGAGGTGAACTGAATTTTAGTCTTATAGCCTTCAATCTATGCATTTAAAATTCACATGATTGAAACACAAAAAGTCCCCTAAAGCCATAGGAACAATCAACAAATTGGTTAGTTATCTAGCACTCTAAATAACAGGTAAATTTTTGAGGTACCCAGTTCAACAATGCAGTTAAAGATGTGCCTAGGCACATCTTGCCTAGGCACTTTAAAAATTGCCTAGGCAATTTAAAAATTGCCTTATGTATTCTCTGTTAGATCACAGACACAGTAATACGATTACAACCTTATATTATTCTCTCCAAACTGTGGGGACTTGCATGAAGGAACACAGCTGAGTCTCTCAAATTGGCTTCACAAAAAAAAAAAAAAAAAAAAAAAAAAGCAGCCCTCCAGGATCTGACTAAAAACACTGCAGAGACCAAACTCTACCCTGGTCCCCCCAGCTCTGATGTTTTCCATTGCTAACACACATACACTATCTAAAAAAAGAAGTCAGTCACATTTATTGTATGCTTTTATAATTAAAAATTCTTTTCATACACCATTAATCAACATAAATGCATGAATTTTATTACATTTTTACAATAGTCTTGAAAACTTACCCATATAGGGTTTTGTGCCAGCCATAGAAGAAGCTTTTTCTGAGCCTTTCACTATGGTCGCTATGTTAAAGTCTGTGATATGAACATGTCCTGCAATTACACAAAGCGAAAACAAAAGTCAAAACAGCACATCAGGCAAATATTCCTTGCTTTGTTTAATATTAAAGTGCTAATAGAAAAAATAATTGGAAATTTATACCAATACGGAACCTTACTATTACATGTTCATCATTGCTAGAAAAAAATATATCCACACCGAAATGATGGCACACTTCTTTTCCCATACAGTTGTGTCCACCACTAGTTACCAGTGCTGACCCTTTCCTGCTGGTCACCCCAAACCTCCTCACGCAATGAACGTCAAGTATGGTAACCACCTTTTTAGAGCAGTAACATTGTGCAGGAGTAGAACTGAATTTTATGGCGCTATACGTGATATACTCCTCTCCTTACCTCTAGCTAGAGCCATCTCCCACAATCATCATCTCATGTACTTGTGACATCTGTCTACTATCTTATCCACTTCAGGTTGCAGTTAGCCTGGCTTTTTCCGAATTTCCTCAGGGCAAAAAGGGAACCAAGATGAAAAAGGATATTTTCTAGTACAATAGCTATAGAATTAGATTCACAGCAGCAGAGGAGCGTGTATGTAAAAGCAGCAGGTCCCAAATGATCACTCATTTGACAGTGGGTTACAAGAAGGATACATTACATAAATTGGCCCCTAGACTTGCTGCCTGACCAGCTAGACAGCTGATTTAAACAGAACTAATCAGGTTGGACGGCCTAAACCTGCCACTATTAATTTTTTTCCTAGAGTAGTTTACAATAAGCAGAATTAAAATTGTTACACCACATACAGCAAAGCAATGGTTTGTTGTCCAGGCTTGCCACAGGCAAGATAAATTGAAAACCTAGCCTGAAAACATGTCTGCAAACTTGCAATGTTTAAGTCTGCTATATGGTTAGGCATCTCCTACTCAAGGACTACTTTCATTTTGTGGAGTGATGTAGATACTATGCTGCCTGCAATTACATCTAGCAAAGCCATTCTGGAGGACAGAGTTCATGGAAAGGTACTTCCTTCCCCAGCTTAACCGTGCACTTGGATCAGACTTAAACAAAAAAACAAACAAAAAAAAAACCTCCAAAGATACCAGTTCAGCTATTATATAGTAACTCACTCACTAGAATTGAGCCACATGTGTTATGTCAGTATTTAACTAGAGTCTTGAATGAGAGGTTTCTGTAACATTTTCTAATCAGGATCGCAGCCTTATTCAGTGCCCAAAACGGAGCGGGCTTTGGGCACAATGCGGTTATTAAGTGAAGGACGCTGTTAACATGTTTGCTGCGAAAGATGAAACGAGTGTAACAAATGACTCGCTTTTGCTTCTAACGTTGAATGTTACTCCAGTGCCTGACTGAGGAACAGCAATTTCAGTAAAAGATTATTCAGCGCCTACAGCCTAACCTAGACTCTGTTTAGACAAAGTCTCTGGAAAATGTATCTGCTATTCTCTAAGAAGTCTGCAATCACACATATGTGAACTGAAAATCTCAGAGTCCCCTAAGTTGGCCAGATCTGCAGTTTTTTAAAAGGGAAAAAGGAAAAGGGCACATCCACTGCCAAAATTAAAGCTATTTCCCTAAATGAGAGACACACTAGAGGTTTTCAATGAAATGGTTAGCGTGCTTTCCCAAACTTTGTTCTCAAAAAACACTTATATTTTGGTGAAGCTTTCTTCCTAAGACACCCAGCTCTGAACACATCAACAGAAATATGGAAAAATCTGACAAAAAATGTGATTAGATAAACATGACCTCTTCACAAGGGGTGTGTTAGGCTGCAAAAACAATAATTAGCGTTCACAGCTCGGTCTAGCATCAAATTGCAAAATAACATTCTCCTTTTGTAGTGGCTGAAGCCAATGGCAGGTGTGTAGCACATTTGCAGTTTATTTCTTCAACAAAACACCATGGGAGAAAGCTTCTTGAAAAAGATAATTGAACCACATACAGCCACCTCATGGCAGTAGATATAAGCAATTTCATGTGCAAAGTAGAATGAAAAGCTGCAAGGATCTTGGCAGACTAATATATTCTCTTTTTTTGACAGATAAATATTAAGTCCTGTCATTTAAATGACAGCATTGTAAGTAATTCTCCCTATTAGAGTGCCAGCATGATAGCCTATTGCAAAGCACCTATCACATAATACCCATTCAGATTGATCCAAATATTTGATTTGCAGTGAAAATTGCCTCTCCTATGGTGCATTGTTTTCTCTCCCTTTTATTAGATTTCTTTTCATTTAACAAAACTCAAGTAGCACACACGTGAAGTGTTATATACACTGGCTGATGGCTTTTGTTAAAAATGCCTTTCTGTAATGTAAGGGATAGATTGGGATGATAGGATCTGCATGATTCTGCTGCATCCTGCTACCTATAAAAAGCTGCTGCACTGGCTACAAGTGGCTCTTAGTGGGAGCCAGGGAGCCCAGGGAGAGGCTAGAGCTGACCCCCAGCCAAGGCAGAAGGGGTGGCAGGGAGCAAAGCACCCGCTCGTGCAGGCAGGCAGGAGCAGAGGAGGGCAAGGCCACGGCTGGAGGGATGCGGAGGCAGAGTTCTGCCTTCCTGGGCACAATGTTTAACAGGTTCGACTGTTCTGAGTCCAGTGACTTGCATTTTTTAAGGAATCGTTCACTCCTGTCCTGAACACTTCACAGAATCACAGAATGGCTGAGGTTGGAAGGGACCTCTGGAGATCATTTAGTTCAACTCCCGTGCTCAAGCAGGGTCCTCTAGAGCATATTTCCCAGGATCGCGTCCAGACGGGTTTTGAATATCTCCAGCGAAGGAGACCCCACAACCTCTCTGGGCTCTTTCAAGAGCTGTCAATACCTTCCCCCACCATCCCAATTGATATAGAAGGCTTCTGATTAGCTTCTAAGGCACACATTTTTACTGCAATAGTTGCATATAGGAAAAGGAAAACAAGCTATCAGTTGGACTAAAAATCCTAGGATATTGGTCATTTCATAGCATTTCCAAAATTTCAAATCATGGAGACTTTTTCCCAGCTGAACTTCACACCTCGTACTCAGTCTCACTTTTTGTGCAGCATCTTGCACAACAATTAAACGCAGAAATGGAGGACCGTACCCGGGCTCCCTTCTCAAGTATCAGATGCAATATTGAACCAAACAGTATGCCAATACCAGTTGATTTTAGATGTAAGAGCTGTGAGACTGAACAGCGCACAGTAGACTCAGCAGTACAAAACTGGATTTGAGTATCACAGGAGAAGAACTCGTTGCTTAATCCCTGTGGCTGCATGACCCAATATGATAATAAGATGATGATGGAGAGAAGAGAACAGGCAAATTAGCCCATTCCTCTGTCTCTCTGCAGATGTATTTACAAATCATTCCAGACTGCACAGATTTCATGTACGTCAACAAATACGTTCTAAATAGGAAGTATATTTCAATGGAAATTATTTTGAAAATTGCATTCCTCCAGTCAGCTTCAAGCTAAGGATTTAAATGCAAAAATTGGTAAATTAATACCTACAGACTAGTATATGTCTTTCAGAAGCTTTACATGTGCATCTCAGAAGTGTCATATGACTTGTATGCCTCACTTTTCCACATGGCCTGAAAATCCAATATCTGAAGTAAACAACAAACCATCTTTGTTAGAGTATCATTTAATTTCTGCTAAATGAGGTCTGATCATAATCAAAGTCAAACTAACTTCTGAAAAGTGGCTAAGGCTGACTAACTAACATTAAGCAAAGGAAAATACACATGATTTCAAACCTAACCGAGTTTCTAAGACTTTCCAACTGACAGGGTGAATGTGAGGACAGATAGAAAAAATATCAAGACTGCAGTCAGTGCCACTACCTCCACATGTGTCAGAACTGATGGGAAATCTCAGCACAGTAACATTTTGGAGCAAATTCAGATCCTGTTTGTCCTCAGAAGGTCAAGCTCGACGAGCTATTTAAAAAGCAACTCTCTGGGTTCATCTGTACTATGCACAAGAGCGTAAGCTAGTATCCGCGTGAACTTGGCATGACTTGGCAGCCTGTCAGTTATTATCAGGGAGGTTTTTAGAAACCCTACTATATTTCTACAGATGGGTTCAGAAAGGCTATGCATTTCAAAGGGGGCAGGCATGTTTAATGGCCACACAAGCATATAAAATTTTCAAATGTACTTTCAAAGCCTAGATAGTTTCAGGTAGTGAATTATGCTCTGAACACTCACATGGTTAACCGACATCAGGAAAATTGTTTGTGCATGTGATGAGGGTTAGCACTAATGCAGACACACCAGGTACTACTTTAGTGGAGACTTAACATCTCTCAGGAGATTTTTATACAATATCAACGTTGCCAGTTCTGTTGTTCAGAAGTCAACAGCCAGGGTTCAAAATATTGAATCTATGGTTCCTTTTTCATCCTATTTTTACCTTTAAGCCCAAAATTACACATTGGCTGCCCTTTTTCAACTTTGCCTTTATCAAATGAGAGCTGAAATTCTCATATAATCAATTAAATAGAACTTTAAGGACAACTTTGATGATCATAAAACAATATAATTGTATAGAAAAAGGCACACACAAACATCAGCCTGAAACTGCCTCTTCATAACATAAATAAGTAAAATTTTCACTAATATAGATACCAAAAAAAATCAACCTATAAAAAAAATGAGTAGAACATTATCAGTTTTGTTGAGGCTAAAAGTGAAATATCAGGTCTGTGATTTCAGGAAGAGTTTCCAAGATTAGAGCTAGGAGGCAGTCAGTGAAAATGGCAGGTGGTACATTCAAAACAAACAGGTGGTGAATCTTCACATAATCTATGCTTAAGCTATGGAACTCTTTGCTGCAAGACGTTAAGAATCATAAAAGTTCCCTCCATTCAAAGAAACGCCAGGAAAGACCATGGATAAGACCACTGAAAGTTACTAAATGCATGAACCACATTCAACTTGGGAAACGCCTCAGTCACAAAAGACTGGATGTTGGGTGAGTATATGGGGGAAGTACCTCGAGATCTTGCCTTGTTTTATATTCTCTTCTGTCACTTATTTTTTGGTAGGTCTTTGAGATAGGAAATTCATTTAGAAGGGTCTTTGACACAGTAAGGTTGCTCTTAGGTTCTTAAGCTGCAAGCCTGCATATCTGTAAGTATATCTAGGACAACAGGGAAGGACAAAAGGAAAGGGAGCAGCTGCCTTAAGAGGAGAAATTAAAAAGGCTGAAGCTCTTCATATGAGACAAGAGAGGGCTGAAGGAGTTTTAGAACATCATGAACATAGTAGATAAAGTGAATATAGAACTGGTATTCACCAAATCCTGCAATTCTAGAACTAGGGTACATTTGCTGAAAGGAGGATTGTTTAAAATAGATAAAAGAAAGCACTTTTCTTCCATGAAGGATAGTGAACTTCTAGAACTTGTTACTCCAGGAGGTTGTGTGGAAGATAATATCAACAGCTTCAAAGAGGGTGTAGATAAAGTCATTAACAAAGCTCCAGCCAGGCTCTGAAGGGAATTTGGAGAGATGTACTTCTAGCATCCTAACATGAAAACTGTGCATGCTGGGAACCACTAAAGCACTGGATGTTGCAAAGCGGCAAAGGTCACATGTTCTCCGTAAACAGTATTTCCTTGTGCCCTGGCTGCAGTAATACACTGGGCTAGGTAGACCGTCCACCTGACCCAGTAGGCAATCGTTCCCTAGGAGACCACACAGGCACTCTGCTATGTAGGGAGGTTACTGAAATGGCCACAGGTAGATAACCTTCCAGTCTTAGAGTGGTGTCCTGAAAAATACACCTGAGGGGAAATCAAACCCTGGCAAATTTCCTGTAAACAAAGTATGATTTTGATATGGTCATTCTGCACAATGCAACATCTAGGTGCCAGACCAGAGTCCAGTAATTTCTGCAGCATGACCAGGAGTCTTAACAGCTGCAGTACTACCAAATATACATAGAAATAATAAGTTGATTTCTCTGAAAAAAATATATGTACTAATCTGGTTGACATTGCTTGTTTTTTGGCCTTTATAGACATTCCACTTCTCCTTAGACATACAAGCTAATAGATCATAAAGTGATATGAAAGCATCTTTAGTTTCTTTCAGGAAAAATACAACATTAACCAGGTTTTACCATCTCTAACTTCCAATCATTTTCATTTCAGTTATATTATTCTAATCTACTGAAATGAAAGTAACAGTGGAGGAAGCAGAATAATGTTAAGAGAACTCTATAATGCACTTCTCTATTCAGTACAATAATTATAGCTCTCCTGAACCATCAGGTAGTCCCTTCAAAGATCAATGGAATAATTCTGTTTAAGATGCACACTGAATAACAGATCAGAGCACCACTGCTAAATTTAGAGAGAAGTCTTTGTGCTAAGAGAAAGAACTTTCTGGGAAAGCGAAGAGGGAACTGGAAAGAAGAGCTTTATGGGCAACATTCGATTCCTTAAAGAGGCCTAATACCAATTCAGAGAATGAACCAATAGCAAGTATTCAATTGTTTCACCTGCAGCACTCCGAAAACATCCCTAATCTCTCTCCTCAAAGGAGACTCCTCTATGGGCTGGAGAACCTGTTCAGGAGACCTGGCAATCATCTTCTGGTAGGGGCTGAAACACTATTCTTAGCCGATTCCCACATTCTCACTTTTCATTATACTTCTCATGACAATCACACGTTTGCTTCCACTGATACATCAGAACGTATGCACAGCAGTGTAAAGATGTGGCTCTGCTGAAAAGTCTATGCAAAAGTTTAGGCTTGCTCTGCCAGTGCAGTTTTGGGTATGTGGTGTATATTTTCATGCTTTCTACTATGAAACTTAGATTAATCATTTTTATGGGTTGAGATAAATCTCATTTTCGTAATTTCCCTATTGCTGAGGAATGTTTCCTAAGCCATACGGGTAAGTAGTAGTAAAACTAGTTTTAATAAACAGAAATATCTGTAATCTTGGTATAATTTATGAAAGCTTCAGTCACCTTTACTGCTTGAAGATGCAAGACAATGCATCTTCACTAACTTCAGCCAAAATAATTTTCTTCAGTAAGGTCAAAGAAATCTAACCTATTGAAACGAACTCTTGGTCCATTTTTTGTGCATATCCAATTCTGTAACACTATGCATAAGCACAGTTTGTTTAATAAATCATAAGAAAGACCTAAGGTTATAGTCAAGCATTTAGGAAGTTGGCATGGCATCTGAGAGGCCACAGGCTAAAACAGAAAAGTTCCTGCACGCTTGGTTATACTCTCTATTAGGTGAATGTATTATGCTTGCTCTGCTGCCTAGCATGTTTAAGGTGTATACACTCATAAATTTTTCTGTGAAGTGAAAGTTGATGGTTCCTTCAAAAATAGTGTTACTATGGAGTGTTGAAACTTAACTGAAGCTTTTATGGACATCAAGGATGGATATCTTGCTAAATATGCATCTATAATGTGGATTTCTATATCTAAACCCCAAGGCTTCCTTAGGTCACTGAAGAGAAACAAGTACATCTAGTGCAGGCATCTGAAACAGATCAGATGAATCAGACCCTACAACATGCCTGCGTCTTTCTGCCACCTGTAAAGGAAGCCCAAAGGGTGACTAGCACAGATGAGGCAACTTCTTTAGGACAGATGTATCTATTTAGTGAGCTGAAGTGCATGGACCCTTACCTAGGCTGGGAAGACTGCATGGTCCAACCAGGCAACAGATCTGTGAACCAAGGATTCATTATCAGATAGCTGATTAATTCTGATACCCAAGGCCAATTTGCACGTCTAGAAAAGCATGGTTATTTTGTCACTCGTGTATGTGTGTTATGCAGGAGCAGTTATCTGCTGCTTTGGACAAAAAGGACTATTGATCTCAAAATTTTCAAGCTGGCTATAGCTGATTTTGTGACCAAATGTCTCATAGCCACTAAGAAAATTTCATTTTGCAGCATATCAGTCACGCTGGTGTAGCTTTTCCTCTGCAATACTTGAGCTTCTATACGGCTCCCTTAAAACAGTAGCAAAGCTCTTGCAAGAGGATGATTTTGTGCTGTAATTGACCTCAATGAGGGGGCAAGGAGAGATAAGGGCAACCGCATTTCAAAGGCTGTCAGTCAGAGATTTAACACACTCATAGTCATTTTGTGTTGCCTTTCACATGTTTAATTCACCCAGGACTTAAAGACAAGAGATTTCTATTTCATGCTTATTTGCTGGTATTAGTATCCAGGGAACATTAACACTTGTGGGTCTGAAACATTAAATTGCTCAGGTCCTAGATGGTTTAAAACTCAAATACTATTCAGCTTTGTTGGCTTCAATATTCCTGGGGACAAACTCCAGCTGTTTGCAATGTTACTTCTTTAATCAACTTTAACTTTTATACCCAGCAGCTCTGCAATAGATTTTGAAAGATAATTGTGACTTTGGTATCATTCCAAGATTATATTTTCTCAGAGATTAATTTCTGAAGTGTATAAAGCATGATACTTCCCACACACCAAGCATATATCTTTTTTCCATTTAGTCTTCCTCCTGTAAATATTTTTGTTATAACTGCTACAAGGTTAATGCCTTCTTTTACTCTCATTTTCTCTCATCCTTCCTATGAACAACTTCAAAGCAATGCAGGAAGATTTAGCAAAATTCCTCATGTATTGCTTATTTGGCTAAATTTTAAAGAAATTAGCACTCTTTATACCGTGTCTTGTTAAATTTCATATCTAGATCGACTAGGAATTAGTAATGGAATTTCAAAGCTGATTACGTTGTCTAGTCTTTTTTAAGGTCATTTGGACCACAACTTCATGTAGAGCCATAAAAATCTTACAGAGGTTTAGGGGTGAATTTCCAAATCCATATCTAAATTTAGGAAAATAATTCCACAAACTTACATGAGAAATAACCTGCTATTTTGAATTGCTTAGCCCTTCAGTTCTGGAGTGCTCGATATCTCTGAAGAAAATCGACTCTTCTTCTGACAGGTCACTCAATATTAAAATACTGTTTTTTGGGGGAGGTTTTTTGTTATTTGTTTTTTAAAATCAGGTACCCCAGTAATCTTAATTCTGACTGAATTACTTCATCTTCAGATCTTGTAAGTGTCAGAGCAACTTTAATTGTTTTCGGTAAGAGGTGAAATTACAAAATACACAAGGCGGACAGAGAGATTTTGTAGAGGAAGATGAGATTCAGATATGAATCCAAGATCTCTGGTTGACTGACAAAGCACAAGCCACCATGTCCCTGAGTTCTCATAAATCAAACATATCTGAGAGAAAACAGTCAATAACCACTTACCATGCTCATCCAGTAGTATATTATCAGGTTTGATATCCCTGGAAAATAAGAAAAAGAATGCATTACATTTCATACTCAAAGAAGACTTGTAAATTTTAAAGCTTTTCCACCTGGATAGGAGAGCTGGGACACTTAAATCGTTAAAAATATAGTGAAAAAATATACCATGCAGAAAAGTCTTTTTAGTGGCCTGAGAAAACATGCATGCTAAAGAAACTGTATAAGTTTCCATTTCAAGTGACTTTGTTTGCATATGGTTAGCATTGAAATGGAGTTGTTTTTCAAGATTACATACTTTCTCCTTACAGCAGCGGGAACAATGAGATAGAAGATTTGCATCTTGAAAGTACCTGATTGCCTCAGGGACTCCTCATGCGACAAGCACAAGAAAATCATAATTGGAAACATCAGTGAGCTAACCTTTTTGGCAGAACCTGCTAATCTCCCATGCTCACGTGCCTGACCACTCACATATTGTAGAGTCCTACTAGCTCTCTTATGCTACTGGGGTAAGTCTAGGAGCTCCAGTTTTACACGCCAAATCCACATATGTCTGTCTATAACAGAGAGAGCAGGCTGGGGGAAAGGAGGGAAGGTAAGGCGGGATGGAGGTTATGATATGCTGAAACATAAGCACAACTCTTCCCTTCATTTCTTAGCACAAAGAAATGACATTGCCTTAGCTGCAGTTTCAGGATCATTTGCAAACTTGCCTATGTTCAGGCTGCTGTCAGGAGGGATGGAGACAGATTTTCCCTCATTCATTTCTGGGCATTCCTACACCCTTTCTTGGGTCAGCATCATTGCTTGCACTATGGAGCTGCTCTGGTGGAAACTCATTTCTTCCTTTGCCAGTCTGCATAGGCTCCCTGATTTGTCTCTCCCTTCAGCTTCATGAGGTGGATGTGGAAGTGTTGTGTGCATTTTCACTGGCAGCTGGCACTTAGTGCAATTTTGAAGCCATGTTTTTGGTGTGCTGTTGCCTAGAGAGATGTGACAATTCACATTGAACAAAACATTTGCCCCTTGGCCTGAGTTTTCCGTTGCACTCAAAAGAGAAGCCATTGCAAACTGTTAAAATAAGCTGTTGAATGAGTTTGCAAACAAGCTGCAAAGACTTTCATGTGTATATACTTGAATATATCAATGACTTTCAACAGAAAAAAATACCTTGTAGTTTTGACTGTTGAATTAAACCTTTAAAACTTTGCCTACCCAAAGTTCGACAAGCAGACTCTTCACTTCTCAAGTGCGTAAAGAAATTGGGGTTACACCTTTGGACATTAGAGCCTTTCTGTCATAATCAGGTGGCTTGCTGGTAACAGTAATAGGAAC